AAATATTAAATGTTGTTATCGATAATCAAGATGATTTTCAATCTTAGTTATTATACATATCGAGATGGGGAAAAATAAAGTGCGAGTTTTGTTTTCGATGTATCCCTTTTACTACTGATGCTAGAGAACCAGAATGAAAAAAAGCCAACCAGATGTAGTTTAAAAACGAAAGGCCGGGGCGCATTCAAATATTACCAAAGCAGTTTTGCATAAACTCTCCTGTCTTTTAGAAAAAAATCACAACAGGGATAGAAGCATCGCGAGAGGGCACATGTCCCGCATTGAGAGAGACAGTCTCTCATTTTCATAACCTGATCCTCATTAAGATTTTCAGAAGATAAATACTATGTCTACAGCGTTTCTCCCTGATCAAATCACAACACAAAAAGAAGCAGGAAAAAAGTGAGGTTTTTCCCTCTGGAGATCAGCCCATGTGGAAGATACCAACTAAAAAACCCTGCATTTTTATTTGTCACGACGAATCTACGTTTCGAAGTGGTGATGTTTCTCACAAACGATGGACAATTGGTGAACAAACTCCATTCTTTAGCAAGGGTCGTGGTCGAAGCCACATGATTTCGGATTTTCTAGTATCTCATCCGTCCGGCCCATTTTTCTCTCTCACCGAATCAGAATTCAGACAAGCATCAGAACAATATCCGAGTTTGCTTGATGATAACGACTTGAACTATGTCGAACATTCGGCTACAGCAAGTATCAATGTTGGAAAAGAAGCATATTTCGACAGTGACACAATTATAGGATAATTTGAAAAACTCTTTCAGTTACTTCCATTCAAAACAGAATACAAAGGCCATGATGTGGAAATCATAGTTGACAATGCTAGAACGCATTCGGCCAAAGAATACACTGTAAATGATTTTGGCAAGGGCATTGGAACTCGATGCTCAGTCCAGTTCATTGATGAAAAAGGAAATGTAAGAAGAACTTCATGTTATTTTCCGGAAGGTAGACACAAGGGTAAATCCAAAGGTCTACTGATGTGGGCGAAAGAACTGAAAGTTGCTGTCAATGATAACATAAAACTCTACGATTTGCGCCACATTTTGTTGGGACATTCTGCTTTTCAAAATATAAGCAGACTCGAAAAATTAGCAACGAAGTACAATGTCAAAATAATTTTTTGCCCCAAATATCATTGCGAACTCAATCCGATCGAGGGGTTATGATGCTCGATGAAAAGGTTCGTCAGGCAACGAAGTGATCAGACATTTCTGACCATGATGCGCCTCATTCCTGCCTCCAGAGAACATTTCAAGCAAAATAGGATCGAGCTCAAGCTTTATCGACGCTTCTGGCGGGCACTCGACGCGGACAAAAATGGAAAAACGTATGGTCAAGTTCTTCAATTGTTTTTCAGTGGACATTGTAAGCCCGATATCGTGTCTCATAGAAAGTTAGGAATACTAATCTTCAGTTTGATTTCTTTTGTCTTGTCTTAGGCACGTGAATTATCTCATGTTCTTGTTATTCTTGCTTTGTTGATGTTTTCAAGCTCAATTAAACGTAAGACGTGACCAGAATCTGTAGAAGTCGTGGCTATCTTCCCATACAACGCGTTTTTGTTAGCTAATATAGTTCCTAAAGTCTTATTTATCGTTGGATTTTCTCATACCCCTATAAGACTCAATGAAGTCTTGTAAGTCAGTGCATGATAATCTACAGTATAATTTACATATATGACACCGTTAAAATGAAAACTACAGTAATTGAGGAGAAGTTTGAAAAAGTGGTCGATTGGATTATTCTTGGTTATAAGTGAAATGGACTTATCGCAGCGAAACAACAAAATTTTGAAAAATCCTCTGTACATTTTTTTCCCTAGTACCTGACAACTCGAACGGGTATATGAAACAGACTTTCAACTCGTCAGACAAAAAAGGAGATAGATTTGCAAGGTCTTGGAGTCAGTGTGCCACATGCGAATATTGTTGAACTAGTCACAACGAATCATAACGATAGAATTCTTTTTAAAGCCTATGGATGTATTCAGTTTTTCATGCTGATTCTGAATAAAACTATTTCGAAAAAATCGAGGCGAAGAAAAAGTGGAAAATTTGTAGACTTCATTGAACTTATGAAAATTATCGATTTTTTGTGACTTTTTGTCTTTCACCTATTACGCCCGTAGAACAAAGTTTAAAAAATTAAAAGTAATATATTCTGAATCAGCTTCGAAAGCTCTATCAAACCGTGTATGATTCGACCTGATCTATTTCCTTCGCTCGACTTTTGAATTTCCGGCACCTTAACTCCATGTTGAAAATTCCATTGTTTTTATGCTCTCTCACTAACAATAATCTACTGTTTTTTGTTAAGCAGTAGTAGCGTTAGAAAATGACGTGATTGCTACGGAAATGCTTCAGCTTGTCGACGAGACTAATCAAATGCAACGATATATTGAAAAAGAAAAATGAAAAGATGGCTCAGCTACGTTAATTATCGTCCATTTCTAGATGTTAAATATCATTATATCTTTGATTTTCGTCATTCCGCCTGTTCATTCTTTGATATGTTAAGTACACTTTGCAAACTTGTTTCACAAACAATCAACGATCAATTAATTGAACATATGAAAAGTACGAACTTTTGTCAGGCTCAGAGATACAGACTCATATATATATATATATATATAAAATCTTAGAATTAATTTTATATTAACTTAGCATAAAATTTGGAAAAGGGAAATTCAGAAAAAAAATTATTTTGTTTCTATTTGTAGGCGCCATTATTTTGGCGCCACTGCCAAAGTGTTTTCACGCCTAAACACGGATATTTTACTTTTTCGTAATATAGTAATATATTCTGAATCGGCTTCGAAAGCTCTATCAAACCGTGTATGATTCGGCCCGATCTATTTCCTTTGCTGGACTTTTGAATTTCCGGCACCTTACAACAGAAACAATACATATACAGTAGATAGTAGAATAATTTTGTTATTATATGTTACAACAAGAAATTGATCTATTTAATAGTATTGTTTCAAGAATATAATCATTTTTAAATATCAATTTGAGAGATGATACATTTCCTCATGTTGTTTTTTGCGATGCTTATATATATGGTTTTATTTTGTAAATGAAAAATAAGAATTCAATTTTCAAAAACGAGAAAAATTTATTCAGTTATCAGATAGATAAAATTTGTTACATGTCATCAATGCATTTGAAAATAATAATTTTAAACCTTGTCTATCGTTTCCATTATTCTCAATTTGAAACATTCAAAAAGCAAATTTAGTTATTCTTTTCGTTTCTTTCTTTCAAACGCGCCATTCATACTTCGTAAAACAATTGCCATGTTATATCTTTTTAAAAAGTTTGATTCAGACAATCAGAAAATAAGATAATTTTTTTTGTCCTCCTTTGTCTTTCGCTTTTTCTCGTGTTCTTTCATCCATCTGAAAATAACGATGTTACTTATCAACATCAGAATTTGTCTTATTCTTCTTTTCTTGTGCTGTTATTCATTTGGATATGTAAATCGTCCGACTTATGATCTCGGTGGACACACTGATCGATTTCAAAAACTGATTGCTCATGATCGTGGTCGTCCATTCAGATGTGATGCAATATCAAAGGGGAAATCGGCGTGGCCCGAAGTTACAGGTTCAATTGGAAATCAACTGAGACCTGTTGTTCGACAACCGCCAGCAGCACATCAACGTCCGTGGAGAGATTAATGAACTTGTTCAAAAATATACACATTTGTCGTCTTGTTTAAATATGTATAACGACGAGGGTGTACCAAGTAGAGGTCAACGAAATAAATCGAATGATGAATTCGTTTTTTAAGTAGTTCAGTTTTAGTATCATAAAAAGTAGTTATATCTGTTACTGCCTAACAAGGTTTCCTTCTGTTGTGTCGCCTGTATCAGCACATGTCCTAAAATACAACTTCTGACGCAGAAGAAAATGTACGAGTTACATTTTTAATAAAGTGGTTTGAGTTCTGGGTTGCTGACAATTTCATATAACCTCAAAATCCTTTCCCTACACCATCACCGAAAGTTTTATCAGATTTTTGCTAGGAGATTATCCTAAAAGATTATCGCGCTGCTCTGACAAAGAAATTATTGTCTTTAGCAGCAACATCCACAAACAGTAATAATAACAATTACGTTTACAATCCAGTACTAAAGTACTAAATCGTAGAGTTTTATGTTATCATTGACAGCAACTTTCAGTTCTTTCGCCCACATCAGTAGACCTTTGGATTTACCCTTGTGTCTACCTTCCGGAAAATAACATGAAGTTCTTCTTACATTTCCTTTTTCATCAATGAACTGGACTGAGCATCGAGTTCCAATGCCCTTGCCAAAATCATTTACAGTGTATTCTTTGGCCGAATGCGTTCTAGCATTGTCAACTATGATTTCCACATCATGGCTTTTTCTGTCATCATCCGCATAAAATATGTTATTTGTATTTTATTTTACATAGACTAGCGTGTACTACAAAATCAATATGCTGCGAACTTTCAACAGCTGTATATTTTCTTATAACGATGTTTATGGTAATAATTCAAGGCGCACATATACTTTGTTCTTACTATCGATAACATGTTACTCTTGTTGGCTCTGTTTTGTTTTACAAGTAAGTTTTCATTTTCTCGTCAGTTCTATGAAATAACTTTTTCTCATATGACCAGCAGGTTCAATGGATGCATCCTCTAACGCCTCACCTACCTTGGTCTACGTGGTACATACACGGGAGAAGGGACAACGGTATTTACGCGTTTTCCTTCGACGATGCCCAATCAGTAATCACACCGTTAGGATTGGCCATAGCCACAACCAGTGCATCGTATGTTCTTATTCATCCATCACAAAAGTACGTTTTTGCTGTTAACGAGCAAGACAATGGTAAGGTAGTCGCATTCCAGGTCGCTTCCACACAGACAGGACAATTGATACTAATCAACGACTAATCTTCTCGTGGCAGTGGTCCATGCTATCTCTCTACAAATAAAGCAGGTAATTACATATTTGTTGCCAATTATAATAGTGGCACTGTCGCTGTTTTACCCGTTGGTAGGATTCGATCAGCAAACCGGATCTTCCGTTAATCCTGATCGCCAAACGTCTTCTCATGCTCATTGCGTTTGATTATTCTCCAACGGTTTCCCGTAAAAGGGATTTGATAAGTAACATAGAATATTTCTATATTAGATTGTTAGGTTTCAAAACAGAGTATGATAAGTCGAAGTTATGGAGGAAAACATTAGTAAATAAGTTAATTAAGTTACCTAGAAGTCTTCAGCATATTGGAGTAAAACGAAATGTGCAAGATCCTATCAAACATCTCCTGAATTTTTCGAAACGAATATTAACTGAAGATGAAGAAGAAGTACTGACTAATGGTCTCCAACATGTATATTCTCCAAC